TCAAACGTAAAACAAGCAACAATCGAAGGATTTTACTTTATAACAATAGAGCAATTAAATAACGCGAATGAAAGTTTGCGCGTGACAATCGAAAATTTCTGTGGACCGCCAAATTATGGATTGAAAAGCTCGTCGGCGCTAGGCAGTGGAGGCAGTTCGCTGACATCTGGAAGACGAGACAGATCAGGCAGTGATTCGATGTGTTTCAACAGCTCTAATCTTTCTTGGTTAATCATTTCTAGTTTTTTCTTCCATTCCGACAGAGTGATCGCATCTCTCTCCCGTTTTTTCTTCTGTTCGTGAATAAACGCATCCAACTTTTGAAGTATGCGTCTTCTGTTCACCATCTCCTCCGCCAAGCTACAAAAAATGCCAGAACAAAATTCCAATATTAAGATGGTCTTACCGCTCGTTGTACGCGGCCACCACTTCATGAGCTTCTTCGACAAGTGACCGAAACTTTTCAAATTCTTCCTTGGTGGTAATTCGCTTGACCGCGGAGACGTCAGCAACATCGGGAGGAAAACTGGCAATCTTTTCCCTGAACCAAGAAATCAAGAATCAAATAACAAGCAACTACGTAATTTAGTCAGCACCATGAACTTTATCGTCCATCATTAACTTAAAACATCACACAACTTCGCGCTTACAGAGGTATTATAGCCACAAAACGTACAGCAGTTTTTCAGGAAAATATCGGCTAAAGCCTTTCAAAATGTGTTGCATTTTACAAAATAGTAAGTTATGCCCTCTTTAACTAAGTTTATTGAGCCGCTCTAGCAAAATTTCATAGCGACTGAAAGACAGTCAGTTGGAACTGATTTAGATGATTCGATACCGATGATTCGAGTGTGAAGATAAAAACAAATCATATGCACATAGAAAGTACTTGTCAAAAACAGCCCATATTACCGACTGGCAATGTAAAAAATCGGATACGATTTGAATGCATAAAAAGCGGTACCTTACGGCAACGTCTGCTGAAGGTGCATTCGTCAGCTCCTGCAAACTTTGCAAAAGTTCTGATGGCGTTGGAGGGGCGACCAGCATTTCGTTCAATTTATTTATATCCGCCGGTAGGCAGACATGCACCGATCCAGATCGCAGCATTTTTGGTTGCATATCTTTTTCCTTCGGAACAACTTCGGTGTCTGACGGTGATTGAATTTCTTCCACGAGCGAAATCGGATCCACGCACTCCGTGGACAAGGCTCCCGCTTGCGGGCTGCTATCGTTCTTTCGTAATGAAGCGAATTCAGACTTGAGGACGTTGAGGAAGTCGCGACTGTATATCGACCGTTGCTCCCAGACTTCGACGATGCGGCGCAGTGTGGTCATCGCTTGAGGATCCATATACTGTTTAGCGTACATTACTGCTCTTTGCACGAAGCTCCTAAAGTTCTCTGCGAATATCGGATACTTACGACGGCTGTTCTGGATGACATCATTGGCGAGATAAAACAACACGATCAGTCGATCAGACCGCTTCTCCCGTTTCACCTGTCGGTACCATAATTCTACGATTTCCGCCGCGTGCTTTCGATGGTGCAGCAACCACAGAGAAAGTGTTTGTATGCTCTGCTTAGTATTAGTCAACTCTTGCAGCTTGCGTTGCACAATTATTTCCGAAAACGCAGCCATGGGCAACTGTAACAATCTGTGGGCCTAAAAATCATATAAATTCATAAAGCATGGTTTGCTGAGGTTAGTTGCCCTTCTCAAAAGTGAGCTTCTAAAAGACATAAGTAAACAACGATAAATAAATATAGACTTTCTAATGAGACTGGATACATCTACTTTGGAATATGCATTACCGAAAAAAATTAGACGTCTGATACAGGCTAAAAATAAGGAAAGTAGTCTAGTATCATTTCTTTCTAATGAAGTGACAAAACACATAATCACCGAATTCGATTTAACCTTTTATAACAATTTCGCACTGCGAAAAAGGGAAAGGCGCTACTGGAAAGAACTGCCTTAGCGACCTCAAAAGTAACGACACGAAGCTGTTGCGGCATTGCTGAAACAACAGGAGTGTCTGCTATGAATACCTTCAATCATCGAAGAGGGCATAAGTACATCTGTATAGAAGTCCGTGAGAGATTTGATAATACATACATACATACATACATACGTCTAGTTTATGACCATCTCTAATGGTACAGGGCTCTCAAACGATTATCACCCTGTTATTGGTAACCTCCGTTGTAAACAGTGGAGTAGTGGAGCACCACGTGAACTCCTGATGGAAGAAGGAATAAAAGAATCAATGGCAAGCATTATCTTCTGCGGATAAGAGGGCTAAATTTGCAACAAGCATCGCACGACCGACTGAACAGATTCCAGTGATGCCAGTGATGCGGAAACTGAGTGGAAGTTCCTCAAGAGCGGCTTACTCAGGGCTGCCGCTGAATGCCGCGGTTTGAAACTGGGTTGCCTACCGCCTAAATGTCAGAGACGAACTTCCTGGTTAACATGAACTGGTTCAGTGGGTTGTCAGTGACAATAAGTTGGCATATCAAGAGATGACTTGGAAAAAAAAGTCCTCAACTCGAATGCAGCACGAAGAAACATGCAATGTGGCAATGAAAGAAATGACCAAAGCGAAAGCTGATACCTGAGCATAGTTCGGTGATGTGCTGGAATCGAATTCCAGATGGCAAATAAGGTATTCTGACACATCATTCTCCACCTCCGAGATGGAAAGAAGAGCAGCTTGAGAGTCCTGACGTAGAAGTCCGGACGACCTACCAAGGAAGAGTATATACTTTGGTGGTGGAGAAAATACTTTCAAGAAATGTTTAACCCTGAATAACCACAGGAAGACTCGCCTGTAGAGCAGCAGGGAACGGATACAACTATTTCAGTAGATGAAATCACACAAGCTATGAAAAGCTTGAACTGATGAAATCCGCACGGAAATGCTCAAAGCATTAGGCGAACAAGACATGTGCTGACTTACACGTGTCCCTCAAACTGCAATAGCTACGGAGAAGACACAAGCAGACTGCAGAGCAGGGGTAGTTGTACCCCTGTTAAAGAAGGAAGATCACAGGGAGTGCTCCATTTATCTGGGCATTACGTCATTGAGAATCCCGGGTAAAGCCTACGGAAAGGTGTTAAGAGGTACTGCAGAATAAATGACTCAGAAACAATAGCAATGTGGCTTCAGGTCAGGCCGAAGCACGTCTGACCAGATCTTCGCCTTAAGCCGGATTGTTGCGAAATATTTTAAGTTCGTTCAGGCATCGGGTTTACATGTTTTGTGGATCTAGAGAAAGCATACAATTGGATCCCGCGCAACGAGCTGTGGGTGTGCCTGCCAACAGATGGGATTATTGGCCAGTTTCTAGGAGTCATCCAGTCGCTATATGTTGATAGCAAGTGCTACGCAGGAGTAAATGACGTCGAGACTTTTCAGCACTGGCACTTCATTGGTCTTTGACTAGGCTGCATTCTCTTTGTTCCCCTATTTGTGTCGCACATGGATAGGATAGCGGGTGCAAAGGGCGTAACGG